TTCTAATGATTATTATTGTGATCATACTTTTGAATCCTCTCTCAGTGTTTGTTTTACACTTGGTCCAATCCCAAGAAAGAAACGTGTCCCTTGTCCAAAAAATTGTTTGTTCGACAATTTGATCTGTAATCTGGAACTAATCCACTCACAATAAACTCCTCCGCGGAACAAACCGACACTCCAGCCGCAGACTCTACGTGTTTTTCTTCGTTCGGCAGCATTAAAGTCCTCTTTGTCACTGGATCGTTTCGGGTGGGGTGCTCCATCTCACCGAGCATTTCCTCTTTGGCAGCAGACCTACCGTTGAGGCTGGGCTCTGCGCTGGGCTGTGCCTGCTCGTGTGGGATTCGAGCAGCGGTCGTCGTTGCGGTTCTTCCACTTAGCCTGCTAGCTGTGGACACTTCTCTCTACCCCCCCTCGGGAGAGTCGAAAGCCGCGCAGACACATATCAGGTCAGTATTAGCTCCCGCCGCATTCCCGCAAACTTCCTCGGCATTTCGCCGCCGATACAACCAGGGAAACGCCGCCTTTGGCCAGAAGTTACTCCCGTAGTGCAGTCGTTACTTCGGCTAGCTAGCTAACGAACGAGCCCTTCTCCTGGATCCTCACCACCGGTATCGCCCGGGCCCTCGCTGCTAACGTCAGCGGACTAATCACGTCTGTTCTCTGTCGTGATAACATTTAAACCGAATGTTAAACTGTGGCGTCGCCTCGCAGCAGCATTAACCCGACAGGCCACACTGACAGGTGATCTAATCCGAAATATCAACGTGTTGTGCCGCCGCCTCTCAACTTGTAGCAGCAGTGTGCTCTGCTGGAGCTCCGGTGACATTGCGGAGACTTCTGGACTCAGGGAATTAGTTCGAGGCGCTAATCTCAGCGGCGGTGAACAGTCTGTGGCTCGTTCTGAACATGTGGCTGTAGAGTTTTTCATTCGTGGTTATCGGCGCAGAATCAGCCACTAAGGTGAGTTAGCTGTCGTGTATTTTCTTTCTTTTATTCAGACTCCACTGTTAGCTGACGTGCCACCTCACCGACAGCTCTCAGCCAGTTAGCCGGGGAGAAAGGTGACAAGGCGGGTTAACGTTGATGGGCCAGTCCCTTGGAGGACCAGTACACTTGCTTCAGTAGTACATCGTGTAGTATGTCAGTGGATGTTAGACACTGGCTGTTTCTGATGGTGGCTCAGGCGTGATATGATTCAGCCTTTTCTGTTTCACTGAGCAGTTGAGTTGTTTTGGACTGTGTGACATGAGCTCGATAGATTAGCTAAATCTGACACCCCCATGTTTGTATCTACACTAGTCTATACACTTCTGAATGATATAAAGAATCACTCACATGTGTGGGTAAATCAGATCACCCTGTAAACGTCCCAGGAATATATAAATTGTAAACATACTTTATTGTTTCTCTGCACTACTGGTTCTGTTTGTAACATATCAAACCAAATACACTCTCATGTCTACACTTTTATGGTTTTGGTCGTCAGTGTTTCCAGTTTACTTTCTTTTCACATGCAGTGAAACAGTGGCATACGTACAGCATCCACCACTATAAGTGAAACATTTTTGCACCATTCTTTAACTTATTTCTTCAGTTTCTTATCTCAACCTCTTTCCTGTAACTGTATTTCTGTGCAAGTAAACTGAAAGCAATGTAAAACCAGAATCTAGTTCCTTCTGTGAACTTGGCCAATGAAGTCAATTCTGAATCTGATCCTTAGTACAGTTTAGAAAATGTTTTGCATCGTATTACAATACCTAGGGCAGGGAAATAATATCATTTATTATTGCAGTGTAATGCTAATCAATAGCAATATAACAGAAGTCCAATGTATATTGATATAAAGCTTATGCAAGGTGCGAGCACAGTGAGGAGGTATAAGGCACAATTGATCGACCTCTGATTTGTAGAATAATTAACTGTTTGTCAAATGTTTGTCATTCTCTTGTGTTCTCTTTAAATGTAAAATAATTGATAACATGACTTTTATCGTAAGCAGCAGTTTAGCTTGTTTGGACTGACTGACATTACCTTGATAGGCTACAAGTCTTCTACAAATGCAATATTTCTTGAAAGTGTGACATTCCTTCTAACTTCTTGATAGGCAGTTGAAGAAAACCTGTATGTGAAAGAATGGCTTACATTGGTGGGCAAGTAAGAGAATCCTGTAGACTTATATTAATTGTCCACATACATGCTGTTTATATAGTTGATTTCAGCCCACTGGACAAGAAACAACTTTGTATAATGTTAAATTACCTCTATGGAATAACAACACTCTGTCTGATAAAGTTAAGGAGGCTTCATTACTTTTTTTTGGAAGGTTTGGATTTTAGATTGGGGCTGCAGAGGAAACTTTGACAACATATATTTGCTATTTCAGGTCCCAGCTATGTCTGAGTGCAATCGTAAGAGCCAGACTCTGTCGTGCAGGGATGTGTTGATGGGCCTACTTTCTGCAAAGTAGGTTCAATACCTGTTTTTAGTCAATGAAGATTGTTAACTTCAAAACATTGAGCACTGTGGATACAGGATGCGTCAGACTCTCATGCTGAGTTTATGTCCTGTTGGTGCTTTTCTACACCTTCCTCTGTCACTGCTATTGCAGGGGCCTACATAATCATTCCAACAGATGTTTCCTCTAAGAGGAATTACAACAGCTTGCTACCACAGCCTTGGACTTGTGATGACAAAAGCACGAGAGTAGGAGTAGAGGTTGCGTCAGTGAATACACACTTCTGAAGACATAGAGGTGTATTTTTTAACCATTTTGTTGAAAGCTATTTGTGAGTGTGCTGTATCAAGGTCACTGTTCAGGTAAAAGATTTCCTGCTAGCTCTGCATGTAAAGGAGATTTTCAGAGGGATGCCTCAATAGCTAGACTTCATTAAAGCTGTAAAACATTTCAAGGAAACCATGTGAAGCGACTTCGTGAAAACAAACATATCGCTGAGAGGCTGAGGTAGGGCCTAATAATTTGAATGACGCACTGAGTCAATAATCACTGCAATCTGTAAAAATGAGTTTCAACTTTTATCAAAGAAAAAGAAGATCCACTTATTGACCATGCACAAACTCATAGATTAAATCGATCAATCTGAAAATAGCTGGTTGCGTAGTGAAGTTTTAGCATGACCCATATCCTGTCATATGGTTACAGTTAAACAATAAATAACCAATAATCCAAATAATACTCCCAAAATATAAACCCATTACATCTTATATCATAACAAACATAATGATGATAATATCCTTCCTTAACTTATTTATGGCTCCTACACCATGCTTTTACTGGTTCAGTATTCTTTTAGTCATTGTGGAATGGAAGTCTACTGACGTGTGTAGCATTGAAACCTTCCCCTCTGATTAAAAATACTTTGGTTGAAATTGATAGAGTTTTTACTGTTTTTGCAAAACATGAATACATTTTGTTTACGTCTGTATCATATGTGGTTTCACACTTCATGGTCAGCAAGTTATGCTTCAGTGAAATATGCAATGCATTGATAACCCATCATACCTTTATGATAGAGGACAGTAAAATCTTCTGTGTAGGTTTTTTTGTCAATTGCTGAGACAGACTGAGCATGTAAACTTTTGACATTATCAATATGGAAGTGTATTGTATATGTAATTTCAGAAGTGGGCTAAATCTCTTTTTTATTGTTTATTCATTTATATCAGACAAATAAAACCAGACAACAAGGGATTTGCATAAAACCCAGTACTGAAGTTTAATCAAGTTAAGAATCTTACTTTAAGATTTAGCTACAGATTAATTATCTTAAACGTATGCAAAACATTAGCATTTGGCTTTTATCCTGGATCCAGATTACAGTGAGAGTCAGTTGTAAAAGATTAACATTATTGCAGTGGGAAAGTCTCCAGAATAAGTGGATCATTTTCAGCTGACTGGAGCAGCTCACCAATCAGAGCTGAAACCTCCACTGTTCATGCTTTAAAGACACTAATGCCAAAGCTCAGTGGTTCTCTCATTCAACATCTTTCTGCTGTTTAACGTTGGGTGGTAACAATGTGCCAAGTAATGCATATGATTCTTGATTTCCTTTGTTTTCCACCAAACAATCTTCTACTATTCAAGTGCTTTCCTTCTCAGGCCTTCTCTTGACCTGAGGGTACCAATCAGTATCATTCAAAGGCACAGCAGGGGAAAACTGGAACACTATATCCAAACTAGGTCGTGTCTACTGATGGCCACTCTTCATTCTCTGCTGAGAAATATCTTGGAGGGTGTTAAGAGAGTGTTGGTTCTGGGTTGTTTTGGTGGAGCTCCGTACTGTAGCTCTTAGGCCTTTTCAGGAATGAAAGGTATGTTTGTGTGAGGCTGTTGAACAAGTTTATATTGAATTTCTATCCTGTGTGTGGTCAACTGTCTCAGCTGACTTAATATGGTTTGACTTTGCAGAGCACTGTCATAACGTCATGGGTTTGCTTCATAGATTCATTTCACAGTAAGAGGAATTTAAAAGGTTGGTGAATCCCCTTAAATCTCGATCAAGTTCTCTTTGTATAGAAAAACATGCAGGACATTTTTGTTATTTCTTCAAGCATTTCCAAATACTGCAATAAATTCATCATGACAATGTGAAATTTGTTTTCTGTATTTCACATACTAATTATTATACATAATATTGTAATACAGCTTTTGTAGAAGTGTATTTTGTGAGCCTCCAGACATTGATAACTACAACTACATGTGCAGTTCCTTTAATAACTGTGGAGTAACTGTTGGGTCATGTGGTTGACAAAGTAGCACTTCCTTGCTTTAGGCTGCATGTGTGTAGTTATTTTTTACTGCTTTGAGTGTGGTCACACAAACAAGCTTCAGACTTGGTATCTGAGACTGTGAACCTTTTCTGCAGCGAAGAGAGGATGTTGGATGATGCTACATATCTGATAGTAGATTTGCTCATTTGGTTTATTTAATGAAGGCAATAAAACCCCAACACAAGGCCTCACACAGCCATATCAGCACCGAACAACAGGTAGACTGTTCAAATAGCAGCCCTACAGCCAATCGGTTTCTGCGGTGAGGAGATCAGACAGGATAATCTGCTGGTGGTCGTGGTAGTGCTTCTACTGTAATCTCATTTTAGAGAAAGCTGCCAGCCAGACTAACATGGTTTAATATGCCAGAATGATGGACTGAGTGAGAGAAAGTGTGTGTTGTGCTGTCTATTTTGTGGACAAGGTCACAGATGATAGGCTATTCAGAAGATCATGCAGGCTTTAACATTGACAACATATTGGATGGCCTCTGACGGGGTATTTTTAGGTCTGTGAGTGTGACATGGTGTGGCCGAGGAGCTTGTTGTCATAACAGAAACAGAATGCCTCCATTAACAGAGCAACAAATACAAAGTTAGTGAGCTTACCTTAAGGGCATATCTGTACTGCAAATTCATCAAATGGTACATTTATTATATAACAATTAATTAACTTGTTTAAACAATCTGATTCTTGGTTAACTAGCAATCACTGCTTCTTAGGGTGCTTCGTTAAGTATAGTCTAGTCTAAATATAGTGAAGTAATGTTTCTTCTTTTTGTCTCCACACAGGGTCCTTTTTGTGAGCACCACTTCTTCCCCTCCTCCCTTTTCCTGTTTTTCTTTTGGTTTCCTTTAAAAAAAAATTTTGCTTTTATTTATTTTTTGTAAATTGATTTTGTGCGGAGAGAACGACTTCGCCACCACAGAACTGCGACCAGTTGTTTTGATGGTCTGGGATCAGTCTGTACCCACTGACGGACACAAGCCTTGTGGGTAGAACAGATCACAGGAGGAAACATGAGCACAGCTAAGCCCAGTGGAATCAAAGGGCCCAGCAAGATAGCCAGGCCACCTGGGCCTGGAGCCCCCAAAACCAACCCCAGTGCAGGTATGTGTTCTGGTATCCCAGCTTCTTTAACTAATGTTCCAATGCATTTGAAGAACCATCAGACTAAAGAGCATGAAGAGTTTGCTATGCTATGCTAGCTGTATGGTTAGCTGTTAAAGTGAGTTATATTTGTTGTTGTTTATAAAAAATTCTAATGGCATCTGATCTGTGCCAGGAATCTGCAGATACACAAAGTCCAGGTATTGGGATCAGTATTGGCAAGTGAAAAATCCTATATTTTAAAATCTGTATGATCTCAAGTATTTAATCAGTCACAATATTCTCTCAGAACATGCTTTTAAAGAAAATATAAGATTCAAAAATCCCCTAACGTGTATTGATTTGGAACCAATAAAATCTCAGCATAGCTTTGCAGGATGGAGCTCACAGTCTAATAGGTGAGTGACTGTTTTGTGCTTGCATTAGAGGGCATCAAGGAGATCTAGGCATTGCAGCTTGTACATCTGTATCCTGCCAAAAATAACAATCTGTGTCAGAGCAGGTTTTCAAATATTTAGTCTAGATTGATCTCAATGTAGAATTTTGTCAGTTGTAAAACATAGTGACATTTTGAGCATGGTGATCAATTCTTGACTTTGGGAACAGATAACTATTACAAGATAATTGTAGACACTAAAAGTTCACAGATTCTTTTAAATAATCTTTTAAATATATATAATGACATTAACACATGAAGGATTAAACTTCAATCAAATCACAAGATGGTTCACTGATTTGTACATTATTTGACATTTACTCATTGACTTTTTAAAAAACTCTTCTTTCTCTTTCCTTCTATTTCAGCAGGAGCTAAAGTTGCGGCTGACAAATCAGCTGCAAGTGCCAGTGGAGGAGATGCCCAAAATGCTGAGGAGACCTTCCAGGTTGGGGAGCGGGTATGGGTGAACGGGAACAAGCCAGGCTACATTCAGTTTTTGGGAGAGACACAGTTTGCCCCGGGGCAGTGGGCTGGGATTGTTCTGGATGAGCCAATTGGGAAGAATGACGGCTCGGTGGCAGGGGTGCGCTACTTCCAGTGCGAAGCTCTGCGAGGTATATTCACCCGCCCGTCCAAGCTGTCTCGCACAGAGGGGGAGGCTAATGGAACTCTGACCGAACCGCCTTCCCGCGCCACATCACCCACGCCTTCAGTTGGTAGCGTAGCCTCTCATACACCTGCCACAAAATCAACAATGCCCTCTACTACCCCGGCAGCCAAGAAGCCCTCCACCACTACATCAGCGACACCGGCTACTCCAGCCACACCAGCTACGCCAGCTACACCATCTTCCAACCTTGTGCGCACAAACAGTGAATCTATCTCCAACCTCTCAGAGACAGGATCAGTCAAGAAGGGGGAAAGGGAACTGAAGATGGGCGACCGTGTATTGGTAAATATTGTTGCATTATTTAAGAGAAAATAAGAGACATTTTTTATATGTGTGCATATTTAAGCAGAGTGACAGAACCCTAAAACTCTAGAGTCATGTTTTAGCACCAGTAGCATTAGTAAGAACAATGCCTGTATAGCATCACATGACTCAGTAAACTTCCTTCAATGAAGTAAACTCAGAGAAACTCTCTCTTCTGAGTCAATGGAAGTTCTGTTACTAAAAATGTGGAGTGCAGTCACCATCCGGATGTACTCCTGATTATATCTTGATTAGCATCCCTCTTCCTCCGTACAGATTCCTATCTTCTCCCTTTCTTTAGAAAGGAGTGTGTGTAACACATTTTAAAGAGGAAGTGTTACTCATGACTATTGGACTGCAGAGGAAATGTGCTCTACACTCCCAAATTCAGTATCATGTAAACCTTTACAACTGTGTCTCACCTGTTGACATTCTGTTTGAAGCTTGCACATATTTGTTTCAGTTGCTGTGATGGAATTATCTCACTTATTAACAAGCTTATTACTCTTTAGGCTTCTCTTATCTCTTGAAGGGATTAAATTATGTTTAATATTTCCCTCTCAGGTTGGTGGTACAAAGGCAGGGGTGGTACGTTTCCTTGGAGAAACTGATTTTGCCAAAGGCGAATGGTGCGGTGTGGAATTGGACGAGCCTTTAGGAAAGAATGACGGGGCAGTGGCAGGCACAAGGTACAAAAGCCACAGTTCTTTGAAATTACCGGAAGAGAAGTTGTTATACTTGTCATCCACATGTGCACTATCACTATCAGTTTCAATATTGTATTCAATTCTGTTATCCCCAGATATTTTCAGTGCCAACCCAAGTATGGCTTATTTGCTCCAGTGCACAAAGTCACGCGCATCGGCTTCCCCTCCACCACGCCAGCCAAAGCAAAAACGACAGTTCGGAAAGTAGTGGCCACACCATCAGGGCTGAAGAGAAGCCCCAGTGCCTCCTCCATCAGTACCATGAGCTCTGTGGCGTCCTCTGTCAGCGCCAAGCCTAGCCGCACAGGCCTGGTGAGACACAGCCACACTAAGAGACAACAATATTAAAAAGTTATATTCATGCACTTGTTTTATTTTTTGCTTCCTCACCTGTCTGGTTGTACTTCTCTTCTGCCTCCCCACAGCTGACAGAAACATCATCACGGTATAATCGAAAGATTTCTGGCACTACAGCCCTGCAGGAGGCATTGAAGGAGAAGCAGCAGCATATTGAGCAGCTCATGGCTGAGAGGGACATGGAGAGAGCTGAGGTCGCCAAGGCCACGAGCCATGTTGGGGAGATGGAGCAAGAAATTAATCTGCTCAGGGATGATCACGAGCAGGTCAGTTAATGCAGTGATTGATTCAAATCAATTTGCATTAACCCCATGTTTTAGAATTAGAGTCTCTCATCTCTTTATTGCCTTGTCATTTTTATTAATTTGGTATCCAATGTCCAACCTTGTTGAAGATGGAGACTAAGATGGATCAGTTACGTGCCTTGGTAGAAGCTGCAGACAAAGACAAAGTGGAGCTACTGAATCAGCTGGAGGAGGAGCGTAGGTAAGGATACCCTCTGGTTTAACAAGTCAAAGATTCATCACATCAACCATGATATACTGTCATTTAGCCCACATTTTATGGTCAGTTCGCTGAGAAAGGAAATTACAGTTACAGACACTTCTACTTTGTCTTAAAAAAATCATGAGGAAAGATGTTTGCCCATGTTGGTGTAATCTTTCTTTCCACCAATCAACCTGAAATAAAATCTTGTTACTATGACTTCTGTTCCCTGAAGGAGAATAACGAGGTACAAGACGTAATGTTTGTGATATCACGCCCTCGCGTGTCCTGACTGAAGACACCTCTATTTAGAGCAGTCCAGCTAACTTGGAGCTGGCAGTAGCCTGAAAAATGGAGCTAAGTTAGCCCATGGTGAGGTGATGAACGAATATGTGTGAGCAGGGCCTCACATAAGCAGTCACACGTCATCTTCCTTAAAGGCGTGAATAGAGGTGTCTTCAGTCAGGACACGTGAGGGCGTGACATCCCATACGTTACAGAGTGAATTGACTGAAAGGGAACAAGCTTGATTAAGATTTGTTTTCTTCTAACTAGGAAAGTGGAGGACCTTCAGTTCCGTGTAGAAGAAGCTTGTATTACCAAAGGAGATCTAGAGGTAAATGCACAACACAGATTCACACCATTGCAACCTGCATATTGTAACAGGTTCATGTTTGAAAAGCAAATGCAGTATTATTGAATCAGACTGCTAAAAATATATTATTATTTTTATTGAATAAAAATAAGTATTTGTGTGCTTAACTTGACATTTGTTCCATTCATTTAAAATTCAAATTTTAATATTAAGTCAGAGGCAGCAGGTACTACAGTCCCCTTGCAACCTGGTCCAATCTCAGGATTACAGTTCACATAAACCTTCTTCTTTACCTGTGACAAGAAAGTTAATTTTTGGTTTACATCTGGTGTTACCTCTTGGCTGCAGGTCTAATAGAATTAAAGACAAGATTATCTGGTATATCTTGTCACAGTGCTACAGTCAAGTCCAGGCACAGCATAATTTGCATTATCTCTCATTCAAGTTAGTTCTAGAGAACGTCCCATTCTGCAGCGTCACTGCAGTGACAGTTTGACACTGACATGACAGTTTGACACTGACTTCATCTTGCAATAGATAATGTGCTGTCAAATGGATTATGGGAAGGATTATGAGGCTTCACGTGGTCACTTAACAGGGCATGATGATTATTGTTTTGTTGTTGTTGTTTCCCAGGGAAATGCAGAGATATGTATAGGAAACTATACCATAAAATTGCTTTGATACTTGCTTGTACAGAAAAGAGTAATTTTATTATTCTTCAGTTGTTATGAAGGGGCCTGACATTAATTTAACCCAGTAGACGCTGATTACTCATTGTCTCGTTCTCAAGTGAGTCATAATCTCATCCCAAGATATGATATGCAGTTTATTAGGGATCAGTGTTATCTCTGTTCATATTTGATCAAAGAATTTCTTATTTATTCCACAGTGCTACACAAGGGACCACCTCAATTACCACAAAGGCATCTGATCTCAAAATAGATGTTCAAAATGAGGGCTACAGGGTTAGAGTACCCTTTTATCTTCTTGTCAAACACGTATACTAACAGTTTATTACTTACTCACAGCTGTGGATACATTCAAAACTTGCATGTAGCTTGAAATACACCAAAAACAAAAAACAAAAAAACTCCAAACAGGCCAAACTCAAAAATGCTTTGTTGATTTCAAGCTGTTGAAGGTGTACTAATGTTGTGCTATAACCCTCAGTGCCTCTCTGTTCAGTGATGTGATGTCGTTGCTTCTTCTTCCTTCTCGTCCTCGTCTTTTCATGTTGGTCCAGTGCTCAGAATGGAACCACTGGAGATGCTCCCTTGTCATTCCACTGCCCAGTCACAGACTTGATTTCAGTCTGCCCACCACAACTAAAGGGGAATAATACTCAGCCTAGGAACTGACTTAAAAATATATTTCCCAGACTACATTATAGTTTATAATGTAGTTTCACAGTGGGTGCATACAGGGTTAAAGCTGGGCTCAGACTGCGGGAGTTTTGAAAACCTGAGAGTGGCTCCACATTCCTGAAGTCTGAGCCCAGTTGAAGTCATTTTTACATTCAGAGTTCCAAAGAATTCAAAACATAAAATGTACAGTTAAACCCAAATTTAATTTGTTCTAGTTTCATAATCCTACCCTTTCGTGCTTTATTCATCACCTCTTGAATTTAGTAAACCATTTTTGTTGGACTATGTCCACTGAAGACCTCATACAAGACCTACATATAATGACAATTTAAATAGGTGTTATTCCCCTTTCAATATGAAACTTTTAAGTTGACATACACTGGGTAACATGCAAGACGAGAAGTACAAAATTGGGGCAGGAAATGTTGCATTGAGTTATCATAAGACAGTTATTTGTAATACATAATACCAAGAGGTCAAATGGGAATCCTTTCTATTTCTTGCGCCCCACATGCTTCTGTGTTACTGATGGACTTTTGTTCAGTTTGTTCTAAATCCTGCACGTGGCGGTCTGATAACTGGTGGTCTCCTATACGGTACTTACATTATACAGTGTGGACAGTGGCCTTATCACCAAAGAGAGAAAACAGTTCTGGTGCTTATAATGTTGATAATAAATCCTAAATAATCATAAGTAATAAATATCATATTTTGCTCAGTGCAGCAAAATAACTAAACGATGAATGAAGTCAAATGTCTTAACAAATCCACAACATTAGATCAGTCCTATATGATATCATCCATTAACCTCATGTTAAAATATGAAGTGAGACTCAAGAAACCACCATCACTGCTTTCTCTCAAAGACATGGTGAAGTCATTTTCCCGCACTTGCTGGCTTAAACCACAATATAAAATTTTCTATGTATGATAACAGTCAACATGCTTTGTTCACCAGGTGTCAATTTTGCATGGTTTACTTCTAAAATGCCTCCATCAACATACTCATCCATAACACACATGCCTCCCTCTTTTGCTGCCTGTCTTGTTTTCCCCACCATTTCTGTCACAAAGTTCCTTATATGCAGCTGTTGATGGCTCAGCCTGAGAGCTCTGCATGGGGTATCTTCCCATTTCCACTCGTCCTCCACCCCTGCCCACCTCCACCCACTACCCTTTCCCCAACAGTCCCAAATACACAAAGACAGACACACACACACACCATCACCACTATCATCGTCCAAACCCCTATATCCTCCCCCCCTATGTCCCTCCCTCCCTACCTCCCTCTCTGTCTGTGTTGGGCTGGCATGTGATGGTGGCACTGGTGTGTTCTCTTCCTCTCCCCCTTGTTTACTAACAGACGCAGACCAGACTGGAGCATGCCCACATTAAGGAGCTTGAACAGAGCCTGCTCTTTGAAAAGACCAAAGCTGAGAAACTCCAAAGAGAGTTAGAAGACACTAGGGTAATGACTTCTGCTCTGCAGCGTGCTGCGTTAGAAAAGGCCTTGGGATAGTGGCCAACAAAATTTGCAGTGGCTACAGAGAGGGGCCGAGCAGTAACTGGAGCTTTGCTTTGTATGGGCTGGTGGTGATGAACCCTTCAAATGCATTTTGCCTGAAATAATACTCCTGCTTTGAAATCAAACAATCCAACTAATAAAATCCATATGTTAGTTTTGTTTAAAAGCACCGATCAAGTTATATTTGCAAATTCTGCATTGCAGTTAATGGAGAATGCAGATTTAAATTGATTCACTTAAATAATATTATGTTTAAAGCCATTAATTTCAGTTATAACTGTCAAACAAATAACCACATGCATTTTCCAGCTTTCTCTTTTACTTGTACTATTCTCCAGTAAGTTACTCAACCTGAGCTCACACTTGCTTTACTGGTATCACTGCTTAACCTGACAGACAAACGTCCCCCATATCCCCAGCTAATCAGTTGCAATTGATTAGTTTGGAAATCCTATGTTTCCCAGTCCTACCCAGCATCCATTTGCCCTGCTTATTTGGTGTTCCTGCATTTTGGTAGTCTTAAACCTGTTCTACCTGCCAGACAATGTATCCATGTGTTCCCCTAGCGAATTAGAGATTCATGAAGTAAAATACGGATTCTATAGTTTCATGGAGACGAGGGCCATATTTTTAACAGGATCTGTTCTAACCAATCATATTCAAGCTGTGAAGTAATCCGTTGAAGCAGCTTAAGGAGATTCATATTTGATTATTAAACAAAATTGTGAACATAAATTGACTAACATAAAAATAGTGTGACATACCTTTGCTCCCTAAGAGGCTTCTTAGTTCTCCTAAATCATTCGGCCAAAAATAGCATTGATTCAATGATGAAGAGTTTCTAAGAAACAAAATATCTTGCACAGTGCTGTAGCCCATACATGCTTGTCAGTGTTCACGTCCATTATTTGTACATTTAATTGCCACAAGGGGTCAGTATAACATGTTTTTTGTATCAAAAATGTATACTGTCCTCAGTGAGTAAATAAAGTGATCAATTTATGCCCTAGAAAGCTTAGTTTTACTTTTACCAATATTACATACTCTTAGCGTATATTTTGTTTAGTAGACATAAAGTATCTCTAAGTCTATTAATTTGCTTTTGTTAGTGCACACACGTCCAGTATGTCATTGATACACATATTTAAATGCAAGATTTCTGCTTTTAAAGGTTGCTTCAGTGTCGGAAAGATCCCGTGTAATGTATCTTGAGAGGGACCTTTCACTGCGTACAAGAGAGGTAGCTGACCTGCAGCTGCGTCTGGGAACCGAGCAGGGCTCTGAGGACTCAACTCTTTCTCCTCTCCTGGAAGAGATAAACTCTCTGAGGGATCAGTTGGCTGCCCAAGAAGCCAAACAGCAAGAGGAGCTGGCTACATTCAAGGAGAAGCAAGATGCTCAAGAGAAGGTCCACAGTAAGGAAGTTGCTCAGCTTCAGGCCACATCTGTGAGGCTCTCTGGTGACAACGAACAGTTGCAAATGCGCTTAAGCCAAGCTGAGAAGGAGAACGCAGACAACACTGAACTGTGGCGTTCCAAGTTGGAGTCTGCTGTTGCCTCTCACCAGCAAACCATGGAGGAGTTGAAGGTGTCCTTCAGCAAAGATGCAGGTTCCCAGACACAAGAGCTCATTGAAACCAAAAGTGCACTAGAGACACTGAAGTCAGAGCAGATGTTGGCTCTGGAGGAGGTGAGAGCCAAACATGAAGCTAACACTACAGCTTTTACTAAGGAGACGCAGGTACTGAAAGCACAGCTCCTGTCTTTGACCGAAGACAAGGAGCGACTGGAGGAGTTGGCACGGTCCAGCGTTGAAAAAGCAGAGGAGCAGCACCTTGTGGAGATGGAGGATGTCCTTGGAAAGCTTCATACTGCCGAACTTAGGGTTAAGGAGCTTGAGGAGAAAGAAGCAGTGTTGGCACAACAGGCCCAAGACAAGGACAGAGAAACCAAAGACCAGATGGCAGAACTGGAGGCTCTGCACAGCAAAATAGCACAAGGTAACCAGGAGGTGGTGACACTGAAGAGTCAGTTAGAGAAGGTTCAGAGCCAAGAAAACAACCAGGGTACCAAGGTGGGTTTTACATCCTCCTCCTTACCATATTAATTCTCCATTGTCATGTATGCCATGTTTTAGCACAGTGGTTTTCTTACTACTTCTCAAGTTAGTATTATATTGTCAGACAATGATAGTCACCCACAGTTTTATTAATGTTTAATTTACATATTTCTTCTTTTTACATAACGTGCTATAGGTTAGTGAGCTGAGCTCTCAGTTGGAAGGTCAGCAGAAAGAAGTCCTCTCTTTACAGCAGACTCTGACCACTGTGAAGCAGAAGAACGAAACCCTTGAACAAGAACTTGGAGGCTTGGTAAGGCTTGTGTCACAGTATAGATGTGGATAGTGCCTCATTTGCTGTATGATTTAAATCATTATGATGTTCAGTGTCACTGTCAGTGCTTCTAAAGTACCTTAGTCTTTGGAGTTTCTTTACTTCAGTTTCTTGTTACTTTTTGACGGCTGAAGTGTCATTGAACTTAAAACAGCCTGTTTGATGTATCAGTTGGTCTTATGACTACACATATTTCAAATGCTGTACCAACCATTGAACCACACACCTGAATTTCTGATTCTTGAATATTTAATTACTTAAACATATCTTAAAATGTTCCCCACAGAAACAAAAGTTGGCTGAAAGCACAGAGGAGCAGACAAAATCAGCTAAATCTATGCAAGGTAAATGAGAAAAGCAATTTTTATTTGTTCACTTTCCCATCATCCCGGTCATCTGCTGCTTTTTCCCCCTTTTTCATGTAACTTTTTTCTTCTTGCAGAAACACTTGAGAAGTTTAGTAAGAAGGAAGAGCAGTGCACAGCCCTGACCACAGAGTCAGAGTCTTTAAGAAGTCAACTTGCCGGTGAGATTATTCAAACTGCCCTCTTCAATGTGTTTTTTAAACGTTGAGATCCAACAAACTAACCTCTTGTCTTTAATCAGGGCTGGAGAGGAAGCTGAAGGCTGCAGATGAAAAGCTGGAGCAGCTTTCAAAGGACAAAAGCAAGCTGGAAAATGACATTTCAGAAATGATGACAGCATCTGGGGACAGTTCAGTACAGCTGACCAAAATGAATGAAGACCTCATTCACAAAGAAAGGTACATCACTTTATTATTCCCTGATCTGGCACACATTTTAGACCACCGTCTTGTTTTATACCATGCTGTAGTCCATATATTTTTCATTTATCTAACTAATCATTAATCATCACCAATCATTTTTCAATCGCTGTTTTTTTTTTTTGTCACTCAGGAGGCTTGAAGAGTTACAGAATCAACTTGTAGAGGAGAAGGAGAAGGTGGCACACTTGGATGAAAAAATCCAGCAGGAACTTTCCCGCAAAGAGCAGGAGCTGAAAGAGAGCAACGACGCACATAACTCTCAAATGAAAGACCTTCAGGAAAAAAATGATAGCTTGGTAAGTATTGTTGTGGACTTACAAAAAAGATTGTTTTAGAATTGTTAGTCACATACTTTAAAATTGATTTATGAATATA